GGCACCACAACATGGCGGCACACCCCTTTCCCCCCCACCCCCAGCTGGTCTTCTCCCCCGTGCCCCTTCTCCCGTGCCCCTTCCGTGCTACTAAGGACAGTTCCGGCCCTTGCTCGACCCCACCTTCAGCTGCAGCCGAACCCGCTCCGCTCCTCCGGCTCCTGCTGCGCTCGAGCTCCACAACCCCAAAACTCTCGCACAAAATGGCCGACAATTCCCGACTTTGAGCCCGAAGAGAAAGGGAGGGGCAACACATACAATACCGCCCCTCCTTCTTTCCCAGGGTAGCCAATGAAAGGGCGGAGCCTACGAACGGGCAGCCAATAGGAATCGGGTCCGCCTGTTGCTAGGGGCGGAAAGGAAGGCGGGTCAAAGAAAGGAAAGGAAAATAAAGGAGGAGTCATTGTTGTTGTTTCAACTTCTCAAGAAGGAGCCTGTCGGGAAAGGGGCCTGTTGGAGGGGGGCGGTGATATATTATTAGAACAAACCACGATGATGGAATGGTAAGGGTCAAACCATGGTTTGTTTAAATGTGGTGTATTGAATAAACCACCTTTGGCTGAACTACATTTTAGGCTTTTTTATAAGCATTTTTATAAAGGTGATATTAGCATTTTAGCATGGTACCCATACCTCCTTTTGAGAGGTTTAGGAAACCCCACCATTCTACATAACAGATGTGAGTTCTGCCAAAGGTGGCTTATTCAGTAATTACATTTAAACAAGCCATGGTTTGATCCTTACCATTTCACCGAAGCCATTTTCTTGAATGTGCAAAAGGCAAAAGCAATGAAAAAACAGGGCTGTATTCTAAAGACCTTAAACAAAGTTGCAAGTATGAAGAAAGAAAGAAACCCTGGTGGGAAAGGAGAAAATGCAACATAGTTTAAGTCTGTGTCTTAACAAAATAAATTTTTTATTGCATATTAATATTTTTTATTATTTGATTTGTTGCTTTTTAACTAGCCATATACATATAATATATGCAATATTTATTTCTGTATCCTATAAAAAGACTTGACCCACCTTAACACTCAGTCTATGCTTTGCCTGAAGTACTTATAGTTCCTATCCTGCACTGAATAAATACATTGTCAGAAGATTGGCTCAGTATATCTGGTTCTTTTATACTCTATAGCACCCAGTTATCAGTTTTTTAAGAAAATGCTACAAACTGACATGTTTTACTTTGCTCCACTTATCCCCAAAACTAGATAAGACAGCTTCTCTCCAATTATATATATATATATATATATATATATATGGATCTTTGGTTGTT